GTCCCTTCAAGCCAATGCCTCATCCCTTCTGGGACCGGAGCTGGCCCTCCCTCACATTGCCCAGGGTTCCAGCAATCAGCTCCTCTCCCAACACCCCTGTGAGTCAGGAAATATTCCCATTGTACAGATGGAATGGAGGCCCTAAAACAGTGACTTATTAATCCAATCCAATGCCTTAACCACAGTACCATTCTTCTTCTCTAGCGGTGCGTGTTGTCCAGCTATGGTGGTGTGAAACCAGTCTTGTAGGAGATGGTTTAAAGGAAAACTCTTTTTCGATGGAGACAACTTTCCACGTGTCTCTTAGCCATCCGTCCAGCATGGAGCATTGACTTCTCTCCATTCAGTAGTAACTGCGGTCCATAAAGCTAATCATCTCACCCATTTATTTTCTTTACAGTTAATTACTTTCAGCAGCTCCTAGTCTGTATTGGGAAGCTCACCTGGTTCACAGAACATCAAACCAGGCTGGCTTTCCATCAGAAGTCACCATTTTAATTTTGGATGCTTTCCCCAAGGAACTCAGCTGCCCACAATCGCCAACGTAAGGTCCGTGGAAACTTATCTGCGACTGGTTACTTGGGTATGGTTTTAGCACAGCAGCCTGTAGGAGATCAGAGGAGATCAGTGACCAGAAAGACTCTGAATAAGACTTTGGGACACTTCCTTTTGGGTAAAGGCAGTGGTGGCTCGTGACTTTTTTGACAAGCCAGGCAGAAATCACGCAATAGTTATTTCTATCTCTGCTGGATACAATTAACTGGGGCAAGATCGGTCTGACATAGGATTGATTTTGGGGATTGGCTTATGGTCAGCTCAACTTTTGAGCATGATTCTGAACTGTCCTACCACAGGGCCACAGAGTTCAGACCAGTTATTTTAGTATCAGAATTGGTTCTTGACTCGTATTTGTGCCCTTGGGGTCAGAATCGATTGGGATTTGGCTCCTTCCAAAGCCAATGACGGTGTAGCTCCACGGAGCCCTTTCTCCACCCTTGGGCCGATCTGATCTGACCATCCACGGGTATTTCCACTGGCTTACACAGCAAATTGGTTGGTCCCTTACTAAGGTGCGTTCCTTGGCTTCTACCTCTTTTGGATTTAGTCTGCAGACCAGCTGCAATTTCGGGCAATGGTGTAATGATTTTGTTATACACAATCACTTGCTTCAGCAAAAGGCACTGCGCTGTTAGCGGTATGAAGGTGCGCATGGCGTGGTCGTGTGCTGGTGTAATTGTGGCTGTGTGTACACTCCCAGCACCACACCGATCACCCCAAATTGCCCCCCTTTTGCAACAGGCCTTTGGTTCCGCCCTTCCCTAGCCAGTGGGAGGGACACTTTCAAAGGCTCTCTCAGACCCCATTTGTAAGGCTTCTGCTGTGCCAAGCTTTTAAGTCTATTCCCAGGTAATAGCGGAGAGGCAGCAATACCGTGAGAGCGTTGAACACGAGATTTGTTTCCAATGACCATTTTTAGCATATTTAAAGGTCCACCCAAAAAAGCCCATATACATCATGCGTTGCTACAGAGTTACTGATTAACATTAAATTGATTCCAAAGTTTAATATTAACACTAATATTTGCATCCAACCTATGACAAGTGGGTACTTTTAAGTATCTTTTTATACCAGGCCTTTTATTTAGACAATTTGTTGTTGAGGCCAGTGTGTTCAGTACCCTCTAAGAATCCTTCCATAGGCACTTTAATTGAATGATATCATATAATGATATCATTGGGGGTTTTGATGAATTAAAAGGGGGGTTGTCATGCGTATAACAGCCCCCTTTTGTATCTGTCTTCAGATTTCAGCACTATGTCTTCACTCCCTACTTCCCTCCCTCCTTAGGTTTAACCTGTTCCCTGTTATTTTCAGACTTTATTTTCCCACCTCCCTTTCCTGGAGGGCCATAATCTCAGTTTTCTTCCTTTCAAGGGCCTTGTTTGCTGACCAGGTCTATTCGTTATTTTCTGCCCTTTTGAGCTGCCATTTATGGGTTGGTTTCTCCTTCCCCTACCAGGGAGGTAATTTGCATCCACCCAGATGCTTTCTGGCTTGTTTTTGGAGACAAAGGCGGTATAGCATTTCTGCCGAGCGTAGGTGGTGGGTGTGATCCTGGACACAGAAGCCCCGCAGGAAATATTTGCTTGATCTCCAGTAGCCATGATGTGAAAGAAGGATAATTATTTGGCTGGCTGTTGAGATATGCACGGCAATGACAACAGATAGACCTGCCTAAAAGCATTCTTTCATGATCAGAAATGCTTGACTATTGGCTGCACAGACACTGGAGAGCAGAGCTGGAGGGAGTCCACGGATGGCGCCCCAAGGGTGTGTCTAGACTACAGGGTTTTGTCGACAAAAGTGGACTTTTGTCGACAAAACTATACCTGCGTCTACACTGCCTCTGTGTTCTGTTGACATAACGTTGACAGAACTCGGCAGTTTTGTCGACGGCTGTAAACCTCATTCTACGAGGAATAACGCCTTTTGTCAACAGAGTTCTGTGGACAGAAGGAGTTATTGCATCTACACTGTCCTTTGCATCTACACTGTCATGTCGACAAAGCGGCTTGCTTTGTCGACAGAACTGGATGTAGTCTAGACGCTCTTTGTTGATAGAAGCTTTGTCCACAGTATCTGTCGACAAAACTTCTGTCGACAAAAGCCTGTAGTCTAGACATACTCCAAGAGATACACCAATTGGCCGCAGCAGGCCACCTACTATGTGCCACTGTAGGGTGGTTCCACACGGCCTCAACTTTGTGTGGATCATTGGTGTGTTTCCTACTGCTGCCCTGTCAGAAACCTCTTTCCCGAAAGAGCTACTGGGAAGAGCTTCACTGAATCAACTCAGACATGCCACAGTTATGGAAATGCGGCTCTTGTCACCATTGCGGAGAACACTGAGAACTTCAGGAGTGAGCCAGGGTCAAAGGGAGCAATGAATTGGAATTGAAACGGGGCTGGAGAGGGAAAAACAGCGATGACTTGTCTCAGAAGTCTGTTGTGAAGATCACCTCAGAAATGTCTGGAAAGCACTTTGCACTGAGAACTTGAACTTGTAATCTTTTCTCAGTGCTGTACTTGTGTGTGGTTTTCTCCCTCAGTGCCGCAGAGAAACGCAGCGTCTGTGCTGGAGACGAGATGAAACACATCTACTCTCCCCCGCGGCTATGATGGGATTGTTTTCCTTCTTCACTGTTACCACACAAGTGGGCAGAAATCACACAAGTTCTTACCTCCAACGATTTGGATAAAAAGGGAAGAAAAGGGTCATTATTGCCTACAGCTATAAAAGGGGACACAGGAGGCAGGTCATAGGTGGCCAATTAGATGGAACATGAATTTTTTATGAACTAAAAATGGCTGTTTTCTTCCCTGGTTATGAGCTGAAGTGCTAGCAGGCTGGAGCCAGAGCATGAGCCACGTAGAAACATTCACCGTATGATCGCTATTACAAATAAGGTCCCTGCAAAAGGCTAAAGTGGCTTCTGGAAGAATTTTTTATAGTTGATGTTTTTAAATCACTGCACTAGGCCTTGTATTACAGAGCTCCTTGGACACTGAGTATTAATAATGTGTGTAGTAAAGCCAGAAACATTTTTTGTATATGTGTACAGTATAGGACAAGGAGCAGTGAGGCTTAAATTGCAGCAAGGGTGGTTTAGGCTGGACATGAGGAAAAACTTCCTGCCTGTCAGGGTGGTTAAACACTGCAATAAATTGCCTGGGGAGGTTGTGGAATCTCTATCACTGGAGATAGTTAAGAACAGATTGGACAGGCATCTATCAGGGATGGTCTAGATGGTGCTTGGCCCTGCCATGGGGGAAGGGGACTGGACTCAATGATTCTCGAGGTTCCTTCCAGTTCTAGTGTTCTGTGTGTCCAGTTCATGATGGCAGTGCACGGGGCCAAGCCAGAATGGATCACTGTTGTGATAGGCACTATCCAAAAAGAATAGGTGAGGCTTCCTGCCGGGAAGAGCTCGCTCTCCAGCTTGAGAAGCCAGAGAGCAGGACGAAGAGATGGCAGCTGATGTCAAGGGAGTGCCGTCGCCAGGGCTCCATTTTGATTTGCATAAACCCTTGAAGAGGGTTGCGTTAGGAGGCGCTTGTGTCTCACTGGAGAGACACAGGGAGGTGATGGGAGAGGTTGGAGCAAACAGCCAGTGAGCCCATGGGAGAGACTGTCTATACAGTCAAGAGGGCAGAAAGCAGCCCTAAGATGTTAAGATGTTGGAATTGCCTTCTGCCATCGTGAGGGGGGCAGTGAAGGAGGCTGTGTAGGGCCCTGGCATTGTTGTGGGTGGCCTTTCTCCCTGAGCTCCTCATTCAGTTGCTTGCTCTCCCCCCTTCCATGGGTCCATGCCCCAATCTCTGCCTAGCCAATCCCAGACTTCTTCCCTCCCCCCACGTTAGGTTCTTGTCCCCTCTCCAGTTAAGTCAGGCAGCCAGCTCCTTCGTCTTCAATCCGCCTGGGTGGGATAATTGAGTGGGGTAATCGAGGTCTCTCTGGTCAGTTCCAGGGCGTGTCTCTACTTCAGCCCACTGCACCTGAGAGCTGCAATTACAGGGAAAGTCTCAGTGTCCTTAGACCGTGTGTCCCTGGACTGGAGTACGTGCAGTCCTTTCAATAATGAACATTTTCTGTCGCATTTGTGGCTTTCTAATAGCACTGGTACTTGTAGAAATGAATCTGCCTTCTCCCAGTGTATGGTAGAAATTGATAGCCACACTGCGGAGCGGAAACCTGTGTGATTTCAACAGTTCCTACAGATCTAGCTGCAGTTATCCATCTCTTACTCATTATCAACCCCTGAATAATCTCACTCTTCATTTGTGTCCTGGCCTTTTGTATCCACCCTTCAGCCCCCTTAAAAGGGAATATGACACAGACAAAAAAGGTGGGGCTTTGACTGCTGAACTATATCCAACCCCTCCCCTTGAAAAGTAATGTAGACACCAAGATTGCTGGGGCAAACATTCTAGAGATTTGGGCTGATCGTGCTACACTACCACTGGTATTGTATTAGGGGTTGATTTTCAACAAATGCCGTGTGCGCCTTTTGAAGTCTGAAGAAGAGATGGCAGTGGCTCAAGGAATATAATTAGTAATGCTTCTCTTTTCGGTTGGTAAGCGTTGCTTTTTAAGCTAAATGGCCTGATCAGACGGATGCAAATTGGCATTAGAAGCCTACATTGAGAAACATGCTTGTGCATTGAAGTTTTCCTTGTTTAAGTTGGGACCAAGTCCAGCTGAGTTTAGAATATAGTTTGAAAAGCCGGCATTCAGTATTGGAGAATTTATAACAGAATTTATAACAATACCATTTTTAATGTTATTACAATTTTATGTTCCCTCATTTAGCTCCAGGTACAAAGATTTCACTTGAATGTACTCATTGCTGGCTCTGCTACGGAGCTCACAGTAACGTTCTTACGCTTAAGAGGATTTTTCTGTGGTTTAACTGTTGGTGTAATATCTTTCAAATGTGCTGGTTAAGAAGGTTAGGCAGTAATGGAATAGTTTCATGCTATGAAAAAGCCAGTGTTTTTCCATAAACATATTGCAATTCACTGTATAAAAATTGAGGGAACATATTGCTTTAGCTAGTTCTGCAAAATATGTTCTCATGGACTGGAATTCTGTATTTCATGCTATTTTATACAATGTAAATGTGTGTAATACCTTAATTTCTACCCAAACCTGATTATGCATATGGCGCACTTTATATGAACTGTCTACAATTAGTTAGCTCCTACATTTTTTTCACAAGTTCTCTAGCAGTGTAGAAATCAGACTTTTTAAACCCTAAATTAAAGAGGGGGCACAAGATTTGCATTGATTCTGTGTCCTCTCAAACTTTGTTTAGTTTTGCTGCAGCCAAGCAAAACTTTTAAATTATTTACAAAGGCAGGGAGAGAGAGAGTTGAAATCCTTTCGAGTGTTGAATGAATAATTTAAAGCTTTCATTTCCATTTAATTTCTTTTTTTTTAAATGCAGTTCTGTCCATGGTCACTTCTCTGGGTGTTAGATTTATTGTTGGGGTTTTGTACGTTGCACTGCTTAATACATTTATCGCATAAATACGGATGAAAATGCATTTCTCCCTGTGGAGTTTTTTCCTTGATATGTAGCTTTAAAGGAAGCTTTACCCTGAGGGGAAATTCTTCAAAGTTAAAAGCATTTTCTTTACAGGGTAGTGAGCTTGAAAGTAGAGGGGCCAAATATAACCATCTTTACACAAATAAAGCCCTGGTGTAATTATATGCCCTGATTTAATTATATGCAGGTTTAATAATAAGCTGAACACAAAGATTTTGGTACAGGTTGAACATCTCTCATAGAATCCTAGAACACTAGAACTGGATGGGACCTCCAGAGAACATCGAGTCCAGTCCCCTGCCCTCACAGCAGGACCAAGCACCATCTAGAGCACCGTTTCCCAACCTATGGGTCGCCACCCAAATATGGGTCACCATTACATTTCAAAAGGGTCACCAAGTGTCTCCCCAGGTGGCTCTGATCCCCTGCCTCCTCCTGTTTTTGAGTTGCCTTGGGTCACCAAGTCTTCCTGATTTGTCAAAATGTGTTCCCATCTGGAAAAGGTTGGGAACTGCTGGTCTAGAGTCTAGACCATCCCTGGTAGATGTCTATCTAAGCTGCTCTTAAATATCTCCAGAGATTCCACAACCTCCCTGGGCAATTTATTCCAGTGTTTAACCACCCTGACAGTTAGGACGTTTTGCCTAATGTCCAACCTAAACCTCCCTTGCTGCAGTTTAAGCCCATTGCTGCTTGTCCTATCATCAGAGGCTAAGAAGAACAATTTTTCTCTCTCTTCCTTGTCACACCCTTTGGATACCTGAAAACCGCTATCATGGCCCTCTCAGTCTTCTCCTTTCCAAACTAAACAAGCCCAAGTCTTTCAGTCTTCCTTCATAGGTCATGTTCTTTAGGCCTTTAATCATTCTTGTTGCTCTTCTCTGGACCTTCTCTAATTTCTCCACATCTTTCTTGAAATGTGGTGCCCAGAACTGGACACGATACTCCAGTTGAGGCCTAATCAGCACAGAGTAGAGAGGAAGAATGACTTTTCGTGTCTTGCTCTTAACACTCCAGGCTGGTTTCAAATGAGAGAGTTTTCCGGACTACAGGAGGTCAGTATTGTCGCGCAGCATTACATACTCTTCCACTGCTTACTGTGCTTTTAGAGAACATTTAGGGGTAAATTAGAGCTAAATAATAGCACAGAACACTGAGACACAGGACTGGTGGTTGTAAACAAACTTTATGGGACAGTGGGAAACCTGGCCACACCCATGAAAAGTGGACATTTGGCTAACTAAAATCATTCTGGACGACGGATGTTTCTGGATAGGAGTTCTAGATGAGAGGTTCAACATGTAGTCGCGATTTTTGACACAACTTGCCCCAACTAGTTATTTAGCCATGTCTTTCATATAGTTCTTATGTGCTCTGAAACTGTATCAGATTTTTAAAAAAAATTGACATATGAGTACTTCCCACCTAATTAATGATGGCTATTACACCATAAGAACCTGCCTGCAGGTTGTGGTAGCCTGCTTTTTCTTCTGCTTTTACATTTTTTGAGATTGAACTTTGATGTTGTGTAAGAATCTAGTTTTGGTCCCTGGATATACCAGCACAAATGCAGAGTTGTCACTGTAATAGAGTTACTCTGGGTTTTGCACAGGCAACTGGGAGCAGAGTTTGTCCATTGTAGTTCATGTGTGTGGCTGGAAAGAGATTATCTCACTGGGACCTATACATGTGAAGATCTGGGTGGAATGTAAGTGACACAGAGCTATGTGAAGAGCTTTGTGTGCAGTACAGGCAGTCCCCGACTTACGTGGATCCGACTTATGTCGGATCCGCACTTACGAATGGGGCTTTTCTCGCCCCGGAGCTCGCGGGCGGCAGGACCGCCCAGAGCGCAGCGGTCCCGCCACCGCGTCCTCCGGGGCGAGAAAAGCTGCTCCGGGTCTCCCTGGTGTGCTGGGGGGGAGTGC